GTGTGCCTTGGCAGTCTCTGTCTGCTCTTCTTCATTAAAGTCCAATAGATAGACAATCTATGATCGCTCTGCCCTCTAAAACTGAAAATAGAGAATATGGCTTTTTTAATATGCTGCGTTAGGCTCCTATTAACCAACCAATTTGTTTATTTTATGCTAGGCTGCACTTCCTGTTATCCAACGTTGGCAGGCTTAGAATGAAAACATTAGCAACTCAGTTGTGCTCCCTTCTCCCTAATAGCTCTGCCTTCTTGTCTCTGCTGCTCAGGCATCAGTGGATTCAAAGTTCATCTGCAAATGCATTTTCTCTATGCCAGCGAGGTCCCGGCATGACTAGCCTTCAGATATAAATGAAGGAGGTTGCATGCTTTAACTGTTATGCTTAAGTTATGTTGATATCCTAGGTTTCAGCCCCAAATCAGAGAAGGGTTTTGTCTCGACAGCACTTCAATATGCAGTCCAATTGCAGAAATGGATTTCTTTAATTTTAAATTATCAATAAAAATCCACACAGTCCATTAAAATATGTACAATACGCCAAGGTAATACTTGTTTTTCTCCAATTTGAATGATACAGTACATATTGACATCTCCAACTTTTTGATTTACTTATTTAAGTGTTAATAAGATATTAAAACCACACTACGCAGCCCATGCTTTATTTAAAGACCTTGAAAAACATTTCTTTAACCAAGTTCTCTCACACATAATATATCTACCATTAGGGAAATAATGAGGGATTCTGTACTGTATTCTTGTTTGAAGTGTTTTAGACAAACAGCATTTAAAAGCTACATCTGTATTGATTAAGAAGACGTCCTACCTTTTTTGTCAGGTAATTAAAGCATAACAAGATTTTCTGGATATACATTATATACGGTTGCATTTCCTCCCTTTAAATCATATAATCTCATCACCACTGAATTTGAACTCAGCGTTTAAGGTTTTATTTGCAAAAAAGATTGTGCAAGTTCAAGACCTAGCTGTACTAATGAGTGTTTTCATCCTTTGCAGAATGCTGGCATGCTGTTCAAGATTAGAGTAGTTGGAGGATCGTCAAACTACAGCTACCTGTCCCCGCAGGACAGCAGGCCACTGTACCACACTGCTGTTGACAAGTAGGACACACACACACACAAAAACACACACACACACACACACACACACACACCAAATTGTAGACTCTCACAAAGAAAAACCTACTGTACCTAAGTACTATACACCGTTTCTTTGTATGCCCGATAGCACATTTATGCTGACATAAATATACAGTCCCTGCATGCACACATTATACCAGATGCACAGCACATTATACAGTGCACACACAAACACACACACAAGCACAGACACACACACATCTTGTGGTACAACTATGGTAAAAAGATGCAATGGTCCCACAAAAAAAGGCTTTAAAGGCTTTTTCAACGACCATGTCAAGTTGATCGATTGAATGACTCTTAATCATAAATATAATCATATCAGCCTATCAAGACTATAGGCTTGATGGAAATGACTGCATTAGCTGATATTTGAACACATAACAGACATGTTTTCTATTGCATTGGGCAAAAAGCCACACATTATTTCAGAAACAAATACCCCTTTAAGGTGCAATGTGGAACTTGGTCAGTATCAGTCAGAAAAATAATCAACTGAATGTGGAGGGGTTTCCTTGTTTAGTCAAAGATGTTCTGCAGAGATATTTCCTGCCTGTCCTGTGTCGTGATACCACTTTTTCCTTCAGAGAATATGGTGAGTCACTGTAGGATCTAGCATAGAGAGGTAGAGCTGCCCCGAGGAATTGTCAATCATGGACGGAGTCGCTGTCCCATGATTCGCAAGGTTGTTTAATGGAATACATCCAAATCAGACGAAAAAATAAAACAGGATTTATTTCAGTTTTTTCGTGACAGCTGCCAGGAGATTTGGGTCAATCAAACTGATTTTATATAAAACCAGACACAAGATTGTTATACCACATTTGACTCAGCAGCCGGAACATTATGAGACTGAGTGTAGTGACAACAGTCAACTTAGTTTTCCAGCTCACTTTTTGTGGCATATTTAAACCCTGGTGCCATATTGCAGAACTTTTAGCTAAACTAGTTGGGGAAATTAAAGAAAAAAATGTTCAGTGGTTTGAGAGTTTGGAAATAGGGAAGTAATGTTGGGAGGGGCAGTGCCACTTTGAATTTAATCTAATAAAATAAACATCAGTGGTGTAAAGTAACGAAGTACATTTACTCAAGTACTGTATTTAATTGTACTATACTTGAGTATTTCAATGTTTTTGTTACTTTGTACTTCTACTCCACTATAACTCAGAGTTAAATTGTGTACTGTTAATCCGTTACACTGATTTAATAGCTAGTTACTTTGCAGATTTTGTTTGGTAATATACATAAACACTTAAATAAGACTTAAGTCGAATCTGGAGTAACATTCACAAGCTACCCTGCAGCATACAAAGTTATTAACCTTAACCAGCTTTGATAAAACTTTAATGCATCAAACTCAAAACATGTAATTGATGTTATACTGAATTTGGCCATTCTGCAAAATTAGTACTTTTAGTATATTTTGATGCTAATACTTTTCTACTTTTACTTAAGTAACATTTTTAATTGCAGGACTTTTACTTGTTACAGAGTACTGCTACACTCTGGTACATCTACTTGTACTTAAGTACAATATCTAAGTACTTCTTCCACATCTGCTAAGTATTAAAGTATGTTAGGAGCTTGTTGCTAGGCACCCACACATTACACCTTTAAGAGGATTACAAGGACCGCATCATTACCCAGTGTGGGGTCTTTATTTCTTCTGTGATTAAGAGCATGCAGCAGAGGTTCTTGGAGGGTCTCTGCTGTTGTATTGAACATCAGTGAAGGTCAGGCCTTTCAAAAAGGAGTTAGGAAATGAGATTATCATCCAGATTAGACAAGTCATTCAATAGGTGTGTATTACGATTCATGCATTTATCTCTGTGTGTGGCGTGTTTTCATTTGTGTGCGTTTTTTATCTGCTCGCTCTGCTTTGCACAACTTTCAAATGGCATTTTGCTCTCTTTATCACACAGCACCTGTGGATAGAATCAATATCAAAATAACCGACCAATAACAAATCAAAACGCAATGGAGGGGGATTACTGTGATGCTCAAGGCTTTAGCTGATTTTAATTTATTTGTTGAATGTGTATGTGTGTTTAGTATTGGCACAAGTATGTAACATGAACCCAATATTTATAGTTTAAGAGAACTTGCAGTGTCTGTCCCTAAAACACAACAGATCTGTATATAAACGCCGTTCAACTTGAATTAAAAACTATCCTAGGCATGATCCACATTTTTCCACATGATCCCTCATTTAGAGAAATTATTTATTTCTTTATCAACTTTTTAAATATTTAATGAGTTAAGGGGTCAGTTCTTACAAATCCCATATCCCATATATCAGTCGTTTCAAATGCTGCATGGTTTAGAAACAATGTGCCAATGTTTTCGGATCCCCACCGCTTCTTCTGCCAGCTTCTCCCAATGAAATGGTTGTGAATGTTATTTGGTTTTCAGCTCTAAATGCTTTTTAGAATTCATGGAAATCTACACACCTGGCTGTGATGTGATTTCATTCAGAACATGTTTCTATGGAAATACAGCTGCCCAAAGCACAAAAACCAGGCATAAATATGATAAGATGTGCTTGTCAATCTTGCACAAGCCTGAAGATTGTGGCTGAATATCGAGAATCTGTCTCATTATAAGTTATATATATATTTTCTTTTTTTTCGGCCCTGGTAATATTACTGTGTAATCACCTTGCTACCAGGTAATTGTTGTTTGTGTGCATGTTGTTGTTCTGGAATAGTAATGTGTCACTAAAATATGTGTATAATTTAGTATTTAATTAGTGTGCTGCTGTGTGTTGGCAGCTCTCTGCTAATCAAAGCTGCTGCTGCTCTGTGACATGAGTTTCATTTCATTTCTATGTGGCACCCTGCTCAAACAGAGCTGTGTTCCAATTAAAGGGATGAAGTGGAAAGGTTCAATCAGGAATAATTAATGTTTAGATGAAGCCTGATAGGCAGACAACTTATTATATGAAATAACTTAGAAGTTCTTAGAAAAAAGTGTTTTAATTAAATGACTGACCCATAATTTAATGGTCATGTTATTTATTGGCAATTCAATTATTCTGATATAAATTGGTATAAGTTATGATAAACATTGTTAAAGTCCACACTTGTTCAAGTAGCACATTTCTGCCTTCATAGTTTGTGTTACTTGCCTTTTTATTGACTGTATGTTCAACTCCTTTGTCACAGAACAATACACACATTTCAAAGCGCATTCAATTCCACTAATTACTGCTTTAGTTTTTCTTGAAAATCCCAAAGCCACATAGCACCATGACAACTGCATGAGTTCTTGTATAGGGAACACTGAGGTTTTGTCCTGCATTTTGTACTAAATGGCAGTTTTTATTATACCACTCATGCCAAGCTCAAGTAAATGTACAATCACAAGCCTAGAGAGATAAACATGTTATCGGTCAATAGGTTGTTATTTGTTATTGAGTTATTTTACATTTCTGGAATGCTTGGCCATGTTACATAAGCCTGACATCTAGTGGTTACAATCTCTATGTTTATGCAATCGACATACACAGTAAACAATAATAAGAGAACAACATGAACTCTAACTCAATTAGAGAAAAACTACTCTCACTGAGAATGATTCATTATTCAGGCCCTGCTGGAAATCTGCAGACTGTCTCTTTTCTGAATGCAGGTTCTTTACAAAATCAAAATGAAACACATTTTGTCACAACTTCATATCATATGCCATCAGCAATCCGTCTTGTTCCTAGGAAAAAACAAATATTGTGTGCCTGAGCTATTGTTAAATCTACCTCGGCGCTGTGTGGCAGCTGAGTCAGATTGATTCTGTCCAGCTGAGATCAAAGCAGTGAAGGAAAGCTCTGCAAAACCAACATGACACTTTTTTGGCTATGTAATGGCTCACAACAGCTTTGCATAGAAATAAATGATATCAAGCCATGTCTCACATGCAGGCGACCACCCCGTGTAATCGCTCCGTTGACAATCTGTAAACTTGTGCATGTCTGTCGGCATGTCACGGTGAAATTAAATAAAAAGCACAAACAAACATTCATAGAAAGTCTCACTGAGTGACATGAGGTTTCCGCCTCCCACAGGTTTGTGGTTCAGGCTTTTAAAGATGAAGCAGAATGTTTCTACTAACACTGACAATACTAGGATCATATGGTGTGTTTTGAAAACTTCCTTTTCTTGCTGTCTTGTAGAGCTCTGAAGTTCTGCGGCCCCGGAGGACCACCCCATGTTAAGGTTGTCATTGAGTGGGAGAACAAGATCAAAGAATGGTGAGCGTTCTGCACAAACATTTCACCGTCCAGTAGAGTATACCAGAGTTTCTGCAGATCCTTAAAAAGTATTTGAGGCATTCAATTCACAACGCTGAACACAAAGGCTTTTACGGATATTTAAACATTTTTAAATGATCTCTGAAGTCATTAAACATCCCTCGCCACTATGTGAACATGATGAGATTGACCCTAGGGCTGAGGGAGTTTGCCACCGATAGTAACTAGAGGTGTGTATGACTCATAGTTCAGTGTATTTATGCATTTGCTAAGCAAAGGTCTGTAAAGGTAGGCTTACACATGAATAGGCTTACTCACCTGGTTAGATCGATAAGTAAAAACAGATAACTTTATATTTATCCGAAAAATGTGTGGAATTGTTCTGCAAGATACCATGAACCTGAATAAATAAATCATAGTAATCATGTTACAGATCACAAAAAAAAAATTCTATATAAAAATACATTATATAATATTTTTGATCACTCTTAGAAAACATTAGGCTTTTAGGGAAATAGATTTACGTGTGTGTGTGTGTGTGTGTGTGTGTGTGTGTGTGTGTGTGTGTGTGTGTGTGTGTGTGTGTGTGTGTGTGTGTGTGTGTGTGTGTGTGTGTGTGTGGGGGTGGGTTTCAGTCTCTTTGGCAGCATCCAGGAGGAGGTGGTGAAGGATGCAGAGAGTGTGAGGAACCAGAAGCAGCAGCACCTGCAGCAGCACAGCTGCACTTTAGACGAGTGCTTCCAGCTGTACACCAAAGAAGAGCAGGTGAAGCTACGACTGTTCATCATCTGTTTTTCATCATCTTTTTGCATGTTGCTATGGAGATTTTTTTTCTATAACTTTAAAACTAAAATAATCCTGATAAACCTGCTGGATTTCAAAGGGAACTTATCAGGCCTCTGTCCCTCGCTACTTTAGTCTCTATTAGCCCACCCAATTTTCCAACTTAACCATCATTAGTTAAATTGCATTGTGTGCAAGCGACAGGTTTTAGCTGAAGAAATATTATGAAAAATGATATAAATTGTTCTGTTACGGCCCGTCCACACAGCGGCGTGCGTTGAAGCTTGCCGGCGGGGGGTGGCTGATACTCGACCAACAAACAATCAGATGAATGTCCCGCCCCGGATACACAAGCACGCGGTTTGATTGGCTAGAGCTTGTACTGGCATATGATTCGATTGGCTGACGCTTCCGCCGAACAATGCAGTTCGGCAAAGCGTGACGTCACCCCATTCAAAGTGAATGGGCAGAAGCGTTGAAGCTTCAACGCACGCCCTTATCCTTGAGTGAACCCATTCACACACCCCTTCGTGTTGCTGACCGTGCCGAAGTATACCGTGTCCGACTTTTTCCAGCGACGTAGTGTCCTCCCCGTCTTATGACAATGGAATAAATTGTACCCTCGTAAATTAGACCGAACGCGAACATACATACAGTATCATAGAAGTGTCACGCGTCACACTCCCAATATGAGCGTCCCACATTTTATACGAGACGTAAACAAAATAATATTACCACTACCATAATCTCCAACGTTACCTATTACTCGTAAATCGCGTTTTAGAATATTTTAGTTACCACATTAGTATAAAATTCGTTCCCACAGTAGAAGACGTGGAGTAATGTCGTTAATGGCCGTGAGCGTTGAAAGTAATAGACCATCTGAGTGCGCCGGCG